TAGGTGGAGGTTTGTGGCCCAGAAGCCAGCAGAGGTGTGTGAAAGGAAAGAGAGGAAATGAAGAGGAAAAAGAAAGAAAAAGAAAAAACAAAACAAAACTGGACCAACTGAAACGATAGCGATGGGAAAGATAGAAGGGAGAGAGAAGAAAAAGAATAGTAAGGACATAGCTGAGGCCTGATCGCCTGACTGTGTGGCTGAAGGTGCTCCCACCCTGCCTCATGGTAGCGGGGTGGTGTACCTGCTTGGTGTAGGGTCCCACAGTTCCTGGGCCGAATTATCCTCAAAGGCAAGATCACAGTGGAGGTCAGGCAGCAGTTCTTGCAGTGGTGTTGTGTGCTGGAGATCACCAGTATAGCAGCACTATAGCCGGTGTGGGCAGGGGGAGTTCCCTCAGCCATGTGTAAGGACCCCAGGACAAGCAGGACCTCCCCAGCTGCGTGTAGAATCACTGAGGGTGGACAGTAGCTCCCCCGTTGGGCTTGTGGCATTGCCCTAGCTTGTGCCAATACCGCTGATGCCCAAATAGCTCAGAGAGTGTTTTTTTTTGTCGTTGTCCCCCCCCACCCCCACCCGGCCAGCTGGAATTGAATTGAATTAAATTTTCCCCCTGGCTACGGGCTCTGGGTTTGTGCTCAGTGAGGTATTCTGAAACCAAGGCTTTCTCCAGGGGCTCTTTTTAATGTTGAGAGCCTCCAAGCTCTGTAGCTAACTTGTGGCATTCCTTAGCACTGGCTCCCTTATTATGCTAATGTATGTTTAAGTACTTGTTCTGCCAGTTTGTCTTGGAGTTAAACAATGAGGCTTGGGTGTGCAGTTTTTACTGAGAAAATATTTTTACTCTTTTTTATATTGGGTTTATGAAGTGCCCCGATTTTGGGGCTATCACGCTAATCCCCAGGGGAGGAGATCTAGTATACCAGAGAGGTTGTTTTCTTATCAGCCAACTAGAACTGAATTCACCCCTGGGCTATGGCTACCCGCTTGTGCTCTGCCACACTGGGATCTGACTCAGGTAAATTTCCTGGAATTTTTTCAATTGCTCCAAATCTGTGGTTACCCATGCTGACCCAACCCTAGGCTATGAGCACAAGGTAGCTATCAGCGTGGGGATCCTGGGGAAATAGGACCTGGCAGAGGCTCGGTGTGGAGCCCATGAGCCCAGCACAATGAAACTAGGGCATTTCAGTGCATTCTCAGTTTGCTTTGTGGGTGAATTTTTTTTTTTAAAGTGGGGAGGGGGTGTGGGGACAGACCCTAGTACCCTGATTCTAATTTTAGGATTCTGTTTCCCAGTCTCCTTCACCTTACCTTTTAATTTTCTGGTCTGGCAGCAGGAGTTCTGGGACGGTAAATCTAACTGGGTGCCATCTTCGGTTGTTTTGTTTTCATGAAGGAATGGGAAGTGGACAGTGATGGGTTCCACAATAATGACTGTCCTAGGGACCTCAGGGTGTGCCTACTAACTGGAGGTCAAGCAACCTGGAGGCCACTCTGGCAATGGAGCTGAGTTCCATTCAGCACAGCCCTGCCAGGGGCCCAACCCACAGGGGAATTCCCCCAGAGTCTCCTTGGGGCTGCTAGAATAGAACTTCTGCTCTGACTATCTACTTTGGGCAAAAAGGAAGCAGAGAGATCTTTTGGTGTTTGCTTTGTCCAGCCTTGCTGTCGAGGTTCCCAGTGGCTCCCGCTGGTCTCTGGACTCCAGCTCTGGGACTCAACCCACTTCCTTGGTCACTGGTTTAAGGTCAAGTCCACAGCAGCTTTTCCTGGCTTGGTAAATTCCCAGGGGTGGGACTATCAGGCACCAGAAACTTAGAGCAGGGTCAAGAGACAGAGATGGCAATTCTCCACCTGCTGTCCACCAGAGGGCACCGGAGGCCAACCACAGCACTGGTCTGATTTGACTGGCTTGATTTTCTGCTCCTGGTATTCTTAAGAGTAGGAGAGGAAAGGATTGTCTTTATCACTAAATTGTTAGTTCTTTAATAGCAGGGACCAGCTCATTAGGGGTCCAGGTTCTGCATCCAGGGCACAGGATGAATGAATGAATGGTGATGAATGGCACCTCAATGATGAATCAATGAATGAGTGAACACGAACACGGGTCCTTGCGGCGCTCCATGGTGCAGTTGACTAGGCACCAAAGTTGTTTTGGAAATCAGAGAGAGAGGTCAATTATCCCTTCAGCCAGAGTCTCTGGCAAACTACTGCTGACCATCTTTCCAATCCCACCCCCCACCCCTAGGCCCCAGCTAGAGCCACTGAACCCATGCCAGGAGGTTCCTGCTCCTTTCAGAGTATGTCTCATCCCAGATTCCTCAGGAACCCGGAGTTTAGGACCTGTCTTCTCAGTCTTCCATGCAAAGGAATCAGGGATGGTGTAGACACAATCTTGTCTACTAGCCATGATGAAAAGGGAAAGAAAGGGTGAACTGTGTGACCTGTGGTCACAAATGCCACTCAGCCATGAGCTGCTTCCCCCAACCTGTGCCTCTAGGCTGCTTGCCTGTGCCCCTGACCTGCTAGGGTCCTACCCACTGGGGATGACACAAGTCGAGCTCAGCGGCCTGCTAGAAGGGCTGAGTCTTGCAAGGCAGGCAGCTGAGAGTGCCAAGGATGTCTTTGGCCTGGAAAGGTCAGTGGCAGAAAGGGGATTAATTTCCTGTTCTTGTAGTTTTGGGTATAGGGAGGAAATGTTGAGCATTATAAATTTATTTCTAGTTTCCATGTATTGAGTATTGACTATGTATTACATAGATACTGAACATTTCTGATAGGGATCTTATTCTATCCTGCCAGTTTCAACTGCAGGCTGGGGCCTGGGGTCAGTCATTTCACAAGTAAGAAAGCAGAAGTATAAAGAAGTAATTAAATTCACATTTCCTGAGCTCCAACTGGTGAACCCTCTCAGTAGCACAATGCCTTATTTCAGAGCCTCCATAAGACAGGTGAGGAAACTGAGGTTCAGCTAAGAACTAATGGTGTTCATTTGGAATCAGAGTTACTCTGGAGGTAAAGACCCAGACCAAACCCATTGCCATCAGTTGATTCGGATGCATAATGACCCTGTAGGTAGCCTTTGGGTATCTTTACAGAAGCAGACAGCCTCATTTTTCTCTTGGGGAATGGTTGGTAGTTTCAAACTGCTGAGTTAGTACCGAGACTCCTTGAATGTTATTGTCAGTGTCCTTCTTTTAGATACTTTTCTGGTTCTGTGGGCAGAAAACCTGTAGGATGCCCACAGTGCAGTAGACCCTCACTCTGGGTCTGACTCCATCTTTATTGGTTCTCATTGGTCTCGACTACTAAAGCAGTAGGACTGAAGCCTCACTTTGTGGACTGGGTCTTTCTTTCCATCTGCATACCAAACCAAAGCCCAGACTTGAGTTTATTCCAACCCATATGACAGAGGCGAGCTGTCCAGTGGTTCAAAGGCTGCCAACTTTATGAGAAGGAGCTTAGTTGACTCAGTGGTTGAAGCACTGAACTGCTAACCAAAAGCTTAGTGGTTCTAACCAACCAGAAGTTCAGAGGGAGAAAGAGGTGGCAGCAGTCTGCTTCCTTAAGGGTTGACAACCTTGGACAATCCTATGGAGGCAGTTCTACTCCATCCTTATGGGTCAGGGATGAGTCGGAATCTACCCCATAGCTGTGGGCTTAATATTTAAGGTCGCCGATTGCCATATCTCTCTTCAGCAGAGCGACTGATGACTTCCGATTACTGACCGTTAGGTTAGCAATTGAGCACTTAACCATTGTGACCGTCTCTCT